AATATTATTACCAAGCTGCTATAAAAAATATTTTGAATTGAATATCTTTATATAGTATATTTAATTATTTATATGTAATTTTTGATTTATTTTATATAGTATATGAAGCTCTTATCAGGTATTTGCAAAGTCAAACGGTTCTTTTTTTGATAGAACGAAATTTTGATAAATAGTTTTAAGTAAATATACCGCTGTAGCTTATGAAGTATATCATAATTTACTATATATTTGATAGTAAAAAGAGGAAATATTTAAAATCAATTTGAAAGCATACAACTTATCCTACCTCATGCGAAGGGCCATTTGCCCTTATCAAACCTTCAGCATAAGTATGAGAGACCACTGTCAAGGTCTGGGCCCTTCTGATAGTGATGTCTGGAGCTCAACTCTTATAAATTCCAGTTCCAATTCCATTTTGTCGCGCTCTTACGATATTTAGTATTTGCCAGCTACTAACGTACTCTGCTTTCCGGCCTTATCGCTTATCTAATTCAACTGGGCCCAACAATAGAGTCCACCAACAGCAGTAACTCAACTTAATTTAGTCGCTATTCGTTGCCCGGCCCAAATGTGTTGATCACGGAAAGCTGTTGGCTCGGAAACTTTAGAATTTGTCATATAGCACGGAGTTTACGGCCGTCGAAATGGTTGTTACGTGCGAGATTAGCTTCGATAATAATAAGCACGGCACCTTCTACGCCGGTCAGCTGGTCAGCGGTTGTGTGACCCTCAAATCCGATCAAATCAAGGAGGTGCAAGGTATTCTAACAATTCAAAAATATATATATATAACTATATACTTGATACAGTGTTTTTTACGCATCGGAAATTTGAATGTCCATCAAATATTGGAATTATAAAGACTGGAGCGATAACGATAGCTGATAGTCCCAGCTAGTATATACTTGTATATATTTTTATGACGACATTGATTCGCATTTTTGGTGTGTGGAATGCGAAAAGCAAAACGATAAGAATTGTATATAAATAAACATGAGCTCTTTGAACGAAAGTTCCCCAACTAATTTCCTCAAGTACAAATACCGTGCGATACATGTATTAAAATATTTCTAACCTTAACGAGCTGTGCCCCAATGGCTATAAATGCCAACTAAACTCAATTTCTTATCAGAACGATTAACTAATTAAAGCTATTAGGCAATTAGTGATCCTTTAAATGGGTCAATATATTATCGTAGCACGGTAAAAAAAAATCATTATCTGTTGGGCTTTACAGCGAGCTTATCACTTGTGTGTATAGGGCTCATACTATAATATCATATTAGTTTATCATATTATCATAATCTTCACGACAGCTGCGATAGTCAAAGTCGTTGGCTACTCCATAACAAAGTGGAGCGAAAGACGTCTGACATCAACAAAACTATTCTCAGGCCGAGAGGATTATCTAGCATCGCAAACATATCTAGTTGGCTCTGAGCAAAGTAAGTATACGAATTGTAAATCAATTCCAGAAGCTGAACAAGAAACGATAAAAATAGTCACTTAGCTTGGGACAAAGAAAACAACAAAATGATTCAGATCTTTCTATTATTTGTATTTTACAAAGAGAATTTCTGATGGAATTCTGTTGTTAAAATAGCATGCAATAGAAAGTAAAGTTAAATTAAGTAAAAAAAAAAAATTAATAAAATATATTTAATCAAGAGGGCTGGCTTATTCGTTCCAGCTCTGTTCATCTATCGAGTATATGAGCTCGTTGCTCGTCGTATTTAGAAATTTCTCTCTCTCCACTCCCTATACGTGCTCATTTACTGACACACACAAAGACGGTAGATAAATCAGCTAGTTTTTCTGATTACAAATGGTTTATAGCTTCAGCTATTATATTATATTCCGAATCTCGGGCGTTATGCATAAATACAAAGTAAAACCTTAATTAAATCATATATAGATTTGTCAAGGCTCGGGGGAATTTCCTAGTCAGGCACTCCGGCTTGAATTTTCATACTTGTTCTGCTTCTACTAATTATATTCTTTTAATATAGCCGGCTGTCTCTGTAGACAGCTCAGTATATTATAAATTAGTTTTTTTTTTTTAAATATTAACTTTATTCTATTCATAAATTGCCCTTTAGGCAATGACAGGCATTCCATTCCCGCGGGTGTGCACACCTACAATTTCGCCTGCCAGCTGCCCTATCAGTGTCCAACTTCCTTTGAGGGTCGCTATGGCTGCGTACGTTACATAGTCAAGGTGCTGCTGCTSCGACCCTGGAAATTCGATCAGGCCTATACACATGGCATCACTGTGCTGAAAATGATGGATCTTAACGTGGAAACGCCGCAACTGAGAGTGAGTATTACACAAGTCCACCCCTATCCCCCTCTCCATCTGCTGTAGCTGATTTATTTATCGCTTTTCTCTAGTTAGCTGCGCACAGCGAGAACTACAGAACCTTTTGCTGCGGACCTTTCAAGACTGCGCCCGTCAAAATGGAGCTGCACCTGCCCCAGTCGGGCTATGTGCCCGGCCAGCGAATACCTGTTACGGTGGTCGTGATCAATAACAGTGGTGTATCCGTCTCCGAGCTGCGGCTCTCGCTGGTGATGCTCATCCGTTATTTCAGTATTACGCCGGAGCACTCGCGCGTGGATCGCATTGTGATTGGCAAGATCCAGGGGGACTCTGTGCTGAAGCGAAGCACGGTTTCGCTGACCATCGATATGGAGGTGCCCAGCACGCCGCCCACCTGCCTCAACGTGTGCAATCTGATACAGATTGCCTATCAGCTGGAGGTGGAGGCGTTGATCAAGAGTCTGCGGGAGCAGCAGCTGATTACCATGCCCATTACGATTGGCACCTGGCCGCTGGCCCTGAAGACCTCCTCGGGGAAGGATGTTGTGCTGCAGCAGCCGCCAAGGCGCAGCGCACGGTACGATTCACAGCAAGACGAGCTGCCCATGATTACGGCGCTAGAGAATCAGCTCAATTCGCCAGACACAGGTAAGCTTCTCAAGTATGCCTACCAAGCTAACCCAGCTTCATATCTAATTTCCACTCCAAAGCTGTGCCCAAGTTTGTGGAGTCCAAGCACACGTTGCGCGGCAACATCAACGAAGAGGAGCTGCATGCCTTCGGAGTCAACGAATTTGCACCCTTATATCCTGTCTACGACATTCCAAGCCCTCCCCCAGCTGTTCCACTCAACGGTTACATTAACAAAAGCTTTCAGAAGGAAACATGAAAGCGCATGCCGATGTTTTTGATGAAGCTCGAGATATTGATTTTGTTTTTAAATATAAAATAGGAATTTTCGAATCTTTGCTGTGTTTTAAATTCAGAGAGATACGAAATTCGCTAGCATTGCTAGCAGGGGTTGAAATGGCTTCAGCTGCGTTATATGTATAACAGTTCTCCGCTGTAGTACAATTTCGCGTGAGGGTTTTTGCATATACTGACTTCTTTGGGGGTGGTAATAGATAGAATATAACACTGATAGAATCTAACACAGATAGAATATAAAGCTTTTCATTTCAGCTAGCTATTCCCACTATTTATTTTTGTAGAACAGCCATTTAGTGTTGTTAAGTTTATACAGTTATATAACAGTTTTCCAGATGTTATGATATTTATAAAAGATTGTGTTTTGTAGAATAGTTTAGCAACGTGTGTCATATTTTGATGTATAACAAATATGTGGGTAAGTATAAAAGTATAAAATTAGGACAGCCCAGATAGCATAGTTTAACAAGGGTTTAATATGTGGTTGCATACTGAATGCTTATGAGTATAACAGAAGAAGGAAACCCAGGTAGAATAGCTTGGACATGCACTAAGCAGGCAATGTACTAAATGCGTTTATATCTTTAAAACATATGTATTACACAATTTGGTATAATAGACTGGTATACAAGTTAAAAGTGCCCCAATTCGGATCCGCCTTGCTTGTATAGCATTTTATAGAAACAGTCTACTGGATGTCGTATAAGACTCGTGCTACAGCTCAAAAGAGAGATATTTAGTTATTTGAATGTTTATAATACTGTTAAGTTAACTGCTTGCTTGAATTGTCCCAAAATGCAATGTGAATTGTTTGAAATGGATTCCACATGGACTATACTGCTTTATTACACAGTTAAAGGCGTTTTATCTATTATATTTATAAAAAATAAAAAATATAAAAGGAAAAAACTAGTAAAGTTAGCTTTAATTAATTTCAGCTGTAAATTTCCTTAATGTATTCCCTTTAAATGGCAGTTGCCGAGGGCGTATTATCTATTGGCTTACACACGACGACGAGCACGTCGCTTGTGGCTTTGGTTTTAATCTGCCCAGACTACTTTGATATTATCAACATGGGTTGGCATAAAAGTTCCGACTAAGCCCCAGCCACGTACTAACTGTTGTGAGGGTTGGCTGCGCCAGCTCCAACTACCACCCCTCTCCACCCCTGCCACCGTTCCAGCCCTTAGCCCAATCCTTCACCCCACATAAACTAAATTCTAGCTCACAACATGTTTAGTTTTTATTGTCACCTCAACTACGAGGAGGATTTATATTCAGTTGGGACGCGGTTTAATTGTCTCTCTTTGGTCCTCAAATTTGTTTGTGGGCAGGTTCCCATCGCCCTTATTTTTCGTTCTTTTTATTCTATTTTGGTTTGTGTGTTGC